TTGACCCGTGCTCATATTCTTTATGGGGATTTCAGTCCTTATTGAATAACTTACAGAGTGTCAGTGTGGAAAATGATCTGTTCTTCCTGGCTGATAACCGATCATTAGATCAATAACTTTATTATTTCCTTTTCCCCATTTTGAAAATTTCAGGGACGCAATTACAATCACATTCCAGATGTATGTCTATTTAAGGCTGAGTGTTCATAAATGAATGAATGACTGAGAGATAGCATGTGTTAAGTTTATAATGAGTCCACTTATATATCATAATAACTAAGTAGGCCTACCATAAATCATTGCTAACAGGATAAATGATAAAGTAATTGATGGGGTTTGAAGTGCATATCATTTGGACTTCTTTTCCCCTTTCCCTGTCCTTTTCAAAGTTGTTCTTAAAAAAGCTTACAATAGTTTTCGCCCATTCGTCAACATTCTCACTTGTATTCATTGAGCTTGAGTTTCTTCTTTTGCTCATGTGGTTTCCAAATGCTAAAACTGCCATATCTATTTTAAATGCTTTGCATTTACTCCCTCGCACTATTCAGCCCCCCCCCACAATCACACGCTTAGATGGATTAGCATTTAACTTATGTCAGAGTAGGAGCATGTGAGAGATGAGAAAAGGCGCACTTAATTGGAATTTCACAGTGATTTCCACATAGATCAGCTTAAACAAGGTGTATTTCTGTATAGCAATCAGGAATTGACTAATCTCTTGTGTAAATATGTGTCAAAGACATGATTTAAGATCTTGGAGGAAGTCTGCATGATAGAACTTTAAACCTGTTCATGTCCCCAAGTGTGAGAACGGCTCTTTAGCCAAAGCTCGATAGGTTTTGATTACATTTTTATAATTACAGATTTTGGTACTGACATTTTGATTACAGCTTTCATTTAGGGCAATGTATAGCAATATAACAAGATGGTTCAATTAACACTTATTCTGGTTAGATTTAGCATTAAAATAATCTCTAAGCTACATTTATTAGAAATGGGTTTAGTTAAACACTGTCTCAAGTAAACCATCTTTTAAAAAAATCTTTATTTTCCATTTTTAGGAACATGGAAGGAGAAGCATTTGAGGGTAGAATAGGAAATTTACAATTTATATGTATCTGGCATTGTTAATGCTATTACTAATGTTATTTTTGATGTTCTATGTTGAACAAAACCAACTGAATAAAGAAATTTTATTTGTTTAAAGCTGTACTGATAAATATCATGCATGTAAATACTATGCTTTTTTCCTTTTTTTAGGAAAAAAGAGGGAAGAGAGAGGGAAGAGAGGAAAGAATTTTATTTTCAATAGAACATTTTTTATTGGGGGAAAAAGTTAACAAATATTTGAGAATAAACACATGTACAACTTTTAGAAATATATTTCTATTTTGGAATACTTCATGTATCCACAATGATAATACAAATGTAAATCTGCCTAAATAATATATAATTTAATATGTGAAACTCAAGTGACATGATTTACCATGTTTAAGATTTTATAGTCAGTATTAGAAAATTAATGACAACAATAAAACTAAAAATATTTTTTAGCCAGTCAGGTGCCAGTAGCTCACACTTGTAATCCTCGTTATTAAGAAGCTGAGAGCTGAGTATTTCAGTTCCAAGCCAGCCTTGACATGAAAGTCTGTGAGACCCTTATCTTCAATTAACAACCAAAAAGTTGGAAGTCGAGCTGTGGCTTAAACAGTAGAGTGGTAGCTTTGAGCAAAAATAAATAAATCAAATTTTAAAAAGGCCCAGGCCCTGAGTTGAAGCCCTAGGACCAACACTCACACACAAAATATTATTGAACTTTGTCTTTTATTTCATTCTTTTGCCTAATTGCCATATTTCAAAACAGCATTAAAGTTAAGCAGCATTCATTCTTTGGAAATCCAGATACTAAAAGAGTAAAAACATTAATATTGATATTAATTATAAATGAATGCTAATGATATATTAATTAACTTTCCATTGTATTATAGGAAGAAACTGCATTTGGGATTAGTTTGCAATTTTAAGAGCTTTAGGACCCTGTTAATATTATAAATATTTTAAAGGAAAACATACTTATTTTGATACATCCTTTAAAGAAATGGATGAGAATATGTTTACTCTTGATTAATGTACAAATCTGAAATTACTGCAATATTACTTCTCAGAAAGGCAATATAGTCACATAAAAATAGCATTTCTTGCTGGCTCATGCCTATAATCCTAGCTACTCCTGAGGCTGAGATCTGAGGATCACAGTTTGAAGCCAGCCTGAGTAGGAAAGTCCATGAGTCTCTTATCTCCAAGTAAGCACCAACAAAACAAAACAAAACAAAACAGAAGGGCTGTGGCTAAAGTGGTGCAGTGCTAGCCTTGAGCAAAAAAAGCTCAGGATAGCACCAAGGCCCTGAGTTCAAGCCCCAGGGCCTACACACAAAAAGGAGAAAAAAAAAGGCATTTCTTTATGTAGTGAAGAAAAGAAAGTAAGTTGGCACTTGTTTGAAGGAAAAAGAAGGAAAATATGTATTTTAAAATCGTGGATTTACATTTCCAGGTCATTACTTATAGAAGACACCGTATCTTCTAGGTGCTGAGAAGGAGAAAAGGGGTAAATTTTTGGTTCTTATTTGTTTTTTAAGAAGATTAGGGTGGTCTCTCATTTCTTAGTTTTGAATGTTATATGTAGGTTCAATTGTTCACTGTCCTGCAAGCTACTCACTGTATGTGCTGTCATGCTAAAGGCAGGGACCTGCTTCCAAGAAATCTTGGCTTGCACATATTATATTGTGTTAAAAGACATGGCATATTGCAGATGCTTCATTGACACCTGCCATGTAATAAGTTCTCAGTAAAGGGAATTTTCTTTTATGTTATCTTTACAGTCTTTAAGTAGTTGTACAAAAGGGTTTTGATTCAGCGTGTCAGCTTGTGAGTACTGTGCATCTTGATCCGTGTCACCAATGGGAAATTGTTTAGAACTCACATTCTCTGATACCCCTTACTGCAGTGTTTTCATCCACTAAGGAATGACATTCAAAATTTCTCTTACAGAGTTCAGTTCAAAGGAAGGAATATATCTTTTCAATGATGCCATTATTTTTAATGTAATAGATCTAATTAGGATAATGAGGATAGTTATAGGATGTTTTGGCTACCAAAATAGTCTTCTTCATTTTATTCATACCGTTGATAAAAGAATTATAGTAACTGTTCCACGTGTATCTTAATAAAAGGAGCAGAACAGAATTACATAGCAATTCACTATATGGTCCTGGGATGGGATACATTTACTCCATGACATCATTTGGTACATGATAGGACAGTTAAGGTGCTCATTTGCTTTTTGTGGGCTGCCCACTGCTGTCTAGCTGTATTGATATATATTTTTTTTAAATTTCATGCTGGTCTTGGGGACTGTCTCTGAATTTTTGTGCTCAAGGTTAGCACCCTACCACTTGAGCTACAGTGCCACTTCCGGTTTTCTGGTGGTTAATTGGAGATAAGAGTCTCAGGGACTTTCCTGCCCAGTCTGGCTTTGAACTTTGTTCTTCAGATCTTAATCTCCTGAGTGGCTAGGATTCCAGGTGTGAGCCCCTGGTGTCTGGTGGTATTGGTCATTTTGAATGGCCCTGGAATAAATAATAAATACCCAATTGGCACCAGGTAGAAAAAAGACTCACCCCTTTGAGCACTTACAAATGCTTTCAGATGGACGAGATTTCTCTTGAGATGAACATGTAATTATTCTCAATTACTTTAAAGCATGTAAATGTGGTCAGAAACACCACTTTTTGTTATGGAATTGTTCAGCAAATTAGCGATTACCAACTTGGGAATTGGCTAATACTTTCCAAGAGCTCAATAAGTGCACAGAACTGGTAAATAACCATATTGGGCAGGGCAAATAGTGATGCTTCTGTCAACCAAGATGCTCTCCTAGATGATTTTGCTCTGTGATATGGTGTCTTTGAAGGAACTGAGGCATGGCTCAAGTGATAGAACTCGGCCTTTTTTTTTTTTTTCAGTCATGGGGCCTGAACTCTGGGCCTGGGCACTGTCTCTGAGCTCTTCAGCTCAAGGCTAGCGCTGTACCACTTGAGCCCTAGTGCCACTTCCAGCCTTTTCTGCTTATGTGGTGCTAGAATCGAACCCAGGGCCTCATGCATACAAGGCAAGCACTCTACCACTGAGCCACCTTCCCAGCCCTGATATGGTGTCTTAAATCAAACAAGATTAGATATTGACTATTTGCAATTAAGACCAGATAGTAAAGCAACTAGTAAGTTTGCTGTTTGATCATTTATGTCTTTGTACTACATTTCCAAATCCTGATAAAATGATTTGCCAAGCACTTGGATAGATGAAGCCAACTTAAAAAAATGACTTTAAAACTGGCTTAGAGGCTGGATGCCAGTGGCTCACGCCTGTAATCCTAGCTACTCAGGAGGCTGAGATCTGAGGATCATGGTTCAAAGCCAGCCTGGGCAGGAAAGTATGTGAGGCTCTTATCTCCAATACCACTCAGAAAACTGGCAATGGCACTGTGGCTCAAGTGGTAGAGCACTAGCCTTGAGCTGAAGAGCTGAGGGACAGCGCCCAAGCCCAGAGTTCAAGCTCCATGACTGAAAAAAAAGAAAAATGGCTTAGAGGCTGGGCACTGGGGACTTGTGTCTGTAATCTTAGTGACTGGAGAAGCTGGGATCTGAGGATCATGGTTCAAAGCCAGCTCAGGCAGAAAATTCTTAGAGACTCTTATCTCCAGTTAACCAGCAAAAAACCAGAAGTGGAAGTGTGGCTCAGAGGGTAGAACACCAGCCTAGAGTAGAAAAAGCCACATGAGACTATGAGGCTGTGAGTTCAAGCTTCAGTACTGGCACAAGAAAAAAAAAAAAAAAAAGACTTGGAAAGCAAACTGCCTTGAAAGGGGATTCATGAGTAACTGGAGTTTTGGAGATTGTCTAAAAGAAATGGCTAATCATTGAGACCAATGCTTTTCTTCACAGCACCTTCCAAACCTTTTCTTCTGAGCATCCCTCCATTCTACTCGGCGTGCTGTGGGGGGTCCTGCCGGAGTCCTGCATCCCCCACCGCTTTTCCAAGTAAGTTGTGAATGCTTCATCAGCAATGCCTCAGTTCCTCTATAAACCAAAGCAGCAGGATTTAATGTGCTCAGGGAAGCTAATTGGTAATGCAGTGGCAAGGAGCTAATTCCTCACTGAAAAATCACAGTGACCCTATTCAGGAGCTTTCCAGAGATTTATCAAACCTCAGCACAGTGAGCAATTGTGAGTGGTTTCTAATGGCATTGAAACTCCCAGCTGACACACCAAGGAAAAGGATTTGTTTTCTAGTTGATATAAAAGATCTAGTGGGATAGGCTTGGCTCTTTCTGAAACGTGTATAGCAACACACTTTTATTTTGTCATGGTACTGGGGGATCAAACCTTGCCCGGGCCTTGCCCAGGCAAGGCAGCCACTCCACCAGGAAGCTACATCTCTGGTGCATTGCAAGACTCCTTTAAAGAAGAACAAGAAGGCAGGAAAGAATGCAAAGAAGTTGCACTGAGCCAACATTTCATTCAGTTTAAAATGGGATATAAAAAGTCACTAGGTACTTACTGTAGAGAAGAATTAAAATCCATCAGGATCTGAAGAGGAAAAAAAGACTTCTCTTTCTCAGAAAGCCCACCTGAGTTGTAGGAAATGTTTTCATGAGAACTTTTCTGTAAACATGATAAAAATGAATCCCTGGGGGTGAAATTAGAAGAACAGACTTGCCAAAACTCATAGTATGGGTGCAAATGCTTTCTCATGCAAAGATGAGTAGCTTTAGCTGGGCTCTGGTATCTTGTGTCTGTAATTCTAGCTACTCGGGAGACTGAGATCTGAAGATTATGGTCCAAAGCCAGCCCAGGCAGGAAAATCCATGAAACTTTATTTCCAATTAACTAGGCTAGAGGTATGGTTTAGAGGTAGACTGCCTTTCTAAGACGCATAAAGCCCCTAGTCCAATTAACCAGTAAAAATGCTGGAAGTGGAGGTAGGATCAAGTGGTAGAGTGCCAGCCTTGGGCAAAAAAGCTAAGTGAGGGGCTGGGAAGGTGGCTCAGTGGTAGAGCACTTGCCTTGCATGCATGAGGCCCTGGGTTTGATTCCTCAGCACCCCATAAGCAGAAAAAGCCAAAAGTGGTGCTGTGGCTCAAGTGGTAGAGTGATAGCCTTTAGCTGAAGAGCTGAGGGACAGCGCCCAGGCCCAGAGTTCAGGCCCCAGGACCGGGAAAAAAACAAAAACAAAAAACCTAAGTGATAGCAGGAGGCCCTGAGTTCAAGCCCCAATACTGGCATACACATACACACAAGGTAAATATCTCTAACCAAATTGTTGGTCCTGAGATGTATAGGTCTGATGAGAATCTGTAGCCAGATTATCTGGGTTGATGTTAAAGAAGTCCTGTAGAGAGCCAGCCGCATACTGGTGGCTCATGTCTATAATCCTAGCTACTTAGGAGGCTGTGATCTGAGGATCAAGGTTCAAAGCCAGCCCAGGCAGGAAAGTCTATGAGACTCTTATTTTCCCTTAACCCAAACCAGAAATGGGAGTATGGCTCAAATGGTAGAGTGCTTGCCTTAAGCACAACAACAAGCAAAGGGACAGTACCCAGGCCCTGAGTTCAAGCCCCAGTATTGGCACATTAAACAAAAAAAAGTCCTGTGGAGGGTTGTGTTATTTCAGCTACCCAAGAGAAAGCTTCGATTACCAGCTCTTGTCAGCTAAGAAGGAAAGAGAGTGGAGGCAGGCTGAAGTCTAGAGCTCTATCCTGCCAGGCGTCTGTTTTTATCGGTGTTTCAGAAGACCAAGTTGCTGGCCAGAATGATTCTTGACAAGCGAGGCAGCAAATGCTGGCTGTTCATTGAGCTGCCAGCTTCTGAGCTTCCCTTTAGGGGGCTGATACTTTCCCACAGAGCACTATAGAGGACTGAGACGCAGCCACAATGGATGACAGACCCGTGACCAATCACCACTTTCACTCGACTCATCCACACGCGACCTCACCACGATTTTTCACTCTGCAGATGAACTTTAGGGCCTATTTCACATGGAAAAAGCTTGGGCAAGGGTCAGCTGCCCTTTTGTATGGTCATAAAGCAGGGCTCTGGGTGTAGGTCTTTCTCCTGTCTCACACTCCCAAGTGAATTTCTTGACACCCTTTAAAGCACTTGACTGAAAAATAAGGCAGTGAATGAAACTGACTTTTATAGACTCATTCTAGCTCATCTTCCCATATAACCCTGTCCACCTAAAAAGGGATTTCGTGGCTGAGCTGAGTGTCTACAGAGATGTGCTGAATACATAGGCCCATTATCAACTGTGAGGATGGTTTATTAACCAAGACTGATACACTACTATTTTGGAAGTGACCTATTAATTGTCCATTTAACTAGAAGGTATTGAATTCAAATAGAAAAAATTGAAACCATGACTAAACCTTTTACTCGCGCCTTCCAGGTGGTCTGCTGTGAGGGGAATTGGAAACTGTGATCCAAATTAAGCAGACATTTATCACTAGATATTAGATCAGCAGGCAGGGACCTCAGGGGTAGACTCGAAACCCGCGTATCTGATGTCGTATTATTATGGCATCGTGTAGATTTAAATTGTCTCTGGGAAAGGAGTTGAAAAGAGGTTCTACACTGAAGAATCATTTTTTCAACCTCCATATTACACTGGTCTTTTATAGTTTTTATTTTATTATCTTTAACTATTTGTACAAATAGTTAAATAGTACAAATACAATTCAATAAATTGTACTATAGATTTTGATCATTGTCATCCCTTCCATTGTTCTGATCATTTATTTTTAAAAAGCCTTTAGGGAAACAGTTCAGGGAACTGAAAATAGGCAAAATAAGTTCATGCAACAAGTAGATGTTCAAGTAGGTCTGTGTAAGTGTGTGTATGGTTGTTTTATAGTGAAGTTTTAAGAATCTCTATAAAAGTTAAATAAGCAGGAGAAATAAAGTTGGGTCAGTTTAATAAAGATAAAAACAGACATTTCTTACAGGACTTCTCATCTGTTTGAGAGAGAGTGAGATGGGGTGAAATTGATTGGAATACATTGTAAATGTGTGGGAAATCATAATGAAATCCCTCTTGCATAACAATATAAGCAGATAGATAGATGATTGATAGGTAATTGATAAATGGTAGGTGATGGATAGATAGATGGTAGATAGATAGATACAGATTGAAAGACAAAAATAGACACATGGAAAGATAGAATGTTAGTTGATTTCTCCTTTCTATATGGTAGACAGGCTATAAATTCTTTTTTCATATTTTTTACTATTACATCTATCCAAAACAAATTAGTAAATTCCAGTTGTTGATGCGCACACACACACACACATACACACACACACACACACACACACACAAGATTACTTCAAACAGGTCTCACTTCTTTTTCCTGTATTTTTGTAGTCCTTCCTGTTTTGTGCTTTTTATATAACTTGTAAATTATTGTGCTTGTCCGAAGAGGCTTAAAACTGTGTTTATCTTTCATTTTTTTCAATAAACATACAAGCTGCAGAACAGTGCAGCTCAGACCAAGGATAGAAAATATGAAATTGGTTGGCCTCCCTTCCTAAAGTTGGCCTTTTAAGACAGTTTAGAGATCACACAAGTGTTTTTAATAAGTGACGATGTCTTGTATTATTAGCTATAACTCTGAAATGAATTTCTTACTTTCTTGTGTTCAGTGTTTGTTCTTATTGGCAGCAAATAATAATGAACCGATGGAATTACGTTGTCAATAAAGATTTTATATAAATAACCAGGATACCAAAGCACAACTAATGAGGTTTACATCTGCATAGTCTTTTTTCCTAAAGAGGTTTACTAGACTTTTAAAAAAAAATACTAAGAACTTTTATATCCGAGCTTTTAAATTATTTTCCATTGTACAGCACTGTCCAAGTAAATTTGTGTTCAGTTTCGTTTGACTAGCCAGAACGAAGGTTTATCCTAACAACTTTGATAACTGCTGAAATCGATGGCCCCTCATCTGATTGCACAGTGTGGCCTTCACACCCTCCAAAAGCCAAGGATCGGATGAACACATTGGTAACCGAGCAAAGGAAATATTGTTTTGACCCTGACCATGAATCTTTTGTTGAATGTTGACTTCATTTTTTTTTTCTTGACTTCTTATGCTTAGGATGGACTGCTGGTTGCAATGTGGAAACAATCATACAGCCAGTGCCCTTCTCACATGCAGTAAAGGGTTTAATAGGCTGTCCTAGCACAGGCCTTACAGTGGGGGAAATTAAAAAGGCGGTGGTAAGAGTGCTCCCCTCCCCCAAGGGGAGGGTGCATGGAAAAATCTTTAATATTACATCTATAAGATTCTTTCTCAGTTAAAATGAAAGCAAACTTGTGGAAATGATGTTGATAATGACTGCAGGAAAATAATAAATAACTACTTGAAGGAATATGAGAATCTTAATTGGGTAGGTGAAATAACAGTTAATCAAATAATGATTCCTTTCTTGAGTACCCAACTTGAACTTGACCTTTTAAGAATTTTCGGCCTTCAAAGACAGCAACTTTAATTTGGAGAAACATTATAACAAATATCTCAGGAAAAAGATATGTCTGTGACAAGCTGTTTGGCTTTTTTTTTCTTGGGAGGTGCCTTTGTATTCTTTCTTTTGATGTCATTTTATTGTCTTCCCTTCCTTGCTAAACCATAAGAAACCATAATATACCCTCTAAGTTTGAATGTAGGTTTTGTTGAAGGCAGAAGAAGAGGCACAGTGTGTGTGTGTGTGTGTGTGTGTGTGTGTGTGCGTGTGTGTGTGTGTGTGTGCGTGTGTGTGTGTGTGCGTGTGTGTGGGTGTGTGGGTGTGCGTACGCTGGTCCTGGGGCTTGAACTCAGGGCCTGGGCACTGTCCCTGAGCTTTTGAGCTCAAGGCTAGTGTTCTACCATTTGAACTGCAGCATCCCTTCTGGCTTTTGGTGGTTAATTGGAGATGAGAGCCTCAGACTTTCCTACCCCAGCTGGCTTTCAAACATGATCCTCAGATCTCAGATTCTTGAA